GGTAATACCTTCTCCTTTACATTACTTCGGCTATCTAGTTGAGAATGAGTTACAACAAAGCGAGGGAGTTATTCGATGGACCAGTGGGATTTTCGTAGGTTTAAAAGGCCGCAGTACCTTTAAAGATAAAACCGTGAATGAAATTGTTGCTATAAATGCAGACACATTACTGTGGCACTGAGCATTGTTTATTCACGAAAGTCGATGACGCCGGTTAACTGCACTTGACTGGTAAACCAATAATTTGTCTTGTAGATGGGTGTTTTATGTCAACTGACTCCTGCTTTAAGCCATGTTGGGTTACAGAAGTGGGTAGACGGATTCGTTAAAGTTGCTTTTCTTAATGACACTCTTTCGCCTGTGCCACATTTCTTAATCAATAATTATGTGTTAAACACTCAGAAGTCATCGTCAGGTGATAATTAGATCTCGTCATTCGTTCACGATTTGTACTGACTTTCTTTAAATTCTCTGGGTCAAGTGAAAGGACCACTCGAATTTAGGGTAAGTTGCTGCTACCAGCTTCCCACAATGTTAAATGAAAATCGTGTTGAGGCATGAAATTAGACAAGGATGCAGATCACAAGAACTGACTTGACAATTACCTAAAGATTAGTCAGGGTTTCTGAGGAAAATGGATTAATGGGTCTAAGGAATGGGAGCGAATATATCGCTACCAATGGCACAGGATGAAAAGTATATTAATCGGTCACTATTTTCGTGAAATTTGTTGCTATTAAACTTTTAAAAAGCTAACAGATTTATGCACAAATCCGATAAATTATTGTTCCATCTCTACGAAAAAACAGCACTTTTTAACTAGTCAAAAGTTAATCAAAAATAAGTATGATGAATAGAAATAATGAAAAAGGTAGGTGTTTTGTTTGATGAATGCGGTGGACACGTTGACACTTCCCATGAAAAAAGAAAAATTTAAAAAAAAATATTCCAAATTTCGAGTTCTGACATTTATTGGCATTAAATAGCTGAACCACCAGCCTGCTTCGGTTGATTGGTCAAGGGCATGATGCCGTAGCATGCACGACGTGCTTACTTCATTCCTGTTCTTAACCCTGAGCGGACTAGGTTAGATTAGATCTTCCTTAAGAGTAATATTGTAGACTGGATGCTTTATGATGATTCGTATTTCTGCTAACTCTCCTCTCACCTGAAAGTTCTGATACGTTCAAGTGATTGGCTGCAAACCGTTGTTTATATCGCCGTGGGATTTCTGATGAGCATCAACTTCTTCAGTAATATCAGAGCGTTAAAAACATTTTACCTGAAGGGTCATTAAATTAAAACTGATTGGCAAATGTTATTATCAATTTCCTTCGAAGGCGGTCCCCGGTTTTGTCAAGAGTTACGTAACTAGCCAGTTTGTGAGCGTTGAAATAGTGACAATAGCGGCATGTCATTGTTTTGTATGAATTAATTAATAATTTGACTCCTGTGATAGACAAGAAAATAGCACAAACTCCAATTCAGTAACTTGAACTAAATCGTTTATTCAAAATCGGATATCTATTTTCACGTTGCTTGCTGTCATAGTCTAAATTAGAGTCCTGTACTAATGATAATTTTCCACACTCTTCAAGGACATTTTCTCCACTGTTGGCTACAGCTCACACATTCGTTCTCTTGTCAGACTGGAAATAAGGCATCTGAAATTC